AGACACTACCAGAAAATAAGCCCTTACAAAATAAGATTTTAATTTCCTGAAAGAGGAGGAGGGATTATAAAAACTTACCTGAAGTGACCTGCATGAACCCTGACACTGAGTAATCATTAGGATTTTCCTTTTAATTTCAGGGACTATAAACAACCTGGAGGCAGGAGTAGCTTCCACAGTAGCATTTGTCCATGTGCTGTTATCCAGATGATGCCATTTCATTTTGAATAAATGCCATTCCTCTGAGTTCCGTGCATGTATCCAATGAATGCGGAATTCAATTCACCCAGGGACAAAGGGGGAAATCAGATGTATCCTATAAAAACACAAGGATGATTGTAACTGTAATGGTTTCAGTGCAAGGACTCTGGAGGCCCTAGTTATATGTTGGCAGTATAACCATGCCCTGGCATGTCTGGCATTTTAAACACTGAGAGGAATAAATTGATGAGTCTGTCTCAACCTCTTTTACCTCTGGTAAAGTTCTCTTACAGATAAGTCTCTTCTTTCATTTATCTGAAAGCCTAAGAAGCAATAATTTATGTACAAATATTTCATTAAGCAAACAAAAATAGTAATAAAAATATTATTATTATTATTAAAAAAGTTGTTCTCTACTACTTATGCTGATACAGTTAAATAAGATCTAGAGCAACTAAGAGCTCCCAAACACGTGTGTGGATATGTCTTGCTGCTGAACAAAGAAGTCTTTGAACAGGGCATCAGGGTTTCTGATGAGGGGAAAGCTTAGTTCTATTTTTCACGGGTTGAGGGGGAGGAGTCCAAATATTTCTTAAATTAAATGGAATTAAACGTGAAGGATTTAAATCTGAAGGATTTGAAGAGAATTAAATCTTCCTATCGCCAGCAGCAGTTTATTGGCTCCTCACATTAGCTCCATGACCCAAAGCATGACACTGGCTAATTATTGCTGCCAGGAGAAAAATCTATATAAATGTACTTAACTGTATCCAAGAAGATATACACTTTTCTCTGCACAATCCTACTATACATGATCACAGTAAGTGGATGCCCGGAGGTCCTTGCACTGCACTCTGTGGCTCTGTGTGGGCAGGCACAATTTTAAACTCCTCCAAGCAGCTTCTGCAGCCCTCCCATGCTCTGCTGAGACATTTACCAACAGACTGCATCAGCTGAGGAGTTCTGGGGCCCCAACATGCAAGGAGAGGTGCTGAAGACCCCAGGCATGATCACTGCTACATCCTACACACATATTCGGGTTTTGTGAGAAAATATGTTTCTTTCCTCATTCAAATTTCTTAGTCAGAAATACGTAACCCAGCAGCACTTCCAGATTCACAGAAGGGTTGAGACTGGAAGGGAACTCTGGAGATCATATAGTCCAAACCCCTGCTCATGCAGGGACACCTAGAGCACGGAGCACAGGGTCACATGAAGGCAGCTTTGGAAGAGCTCCAGAGAAGGAGACTCCACAGCCTCCCTGGGCAGCCTGTTCCAGGGCTCTGTCAGCCTCACAGTCAACATTTTCTTCATATCCAGGAGATGCTTCCTGGGCTTCAGTTTATGCCTGTTGCCTTCTGTCTTGCTGCTGGACAGCGCTGACAAGAGTGTCCCCAGTGACAGACACTCATGCTTCTCCAGCCACAGCCATGCTGCAGCTCCTATGCCGCTCAGGGAGCCTCCAACAGGATATCCCCATGTGCCTCTGCAGCCGCTCATGGCCGATGCTTTTCCTTAAATCCACCTGTGCCAGGTGCCACACGCTCCCTGGCCACTGGTGGATGCGTCACACCAGCCGGAGCCGGCTGCAACTGGCTGCAACCAGCACAGGGCAGCTCATGGCGGCCTCCCACACAAGGCACCACGCACCTCCTGCCACCCACGCTCTGCCTTTTATGCCCTACATTAGGACATAAAGTATTTTAGAACTAGAAAAAAAAGAGGATGACTGCTAAAGTTTTGCTGGCCTGGTGAAGGAGGAGGTAACTAATCAGAGGAGAAGTGATTGCCAGGGAATTCAGTCTGCAACGGAATTGCCTCTCATTCAGAAGCAGTCCTGATGGATTGCCATGGCTGGGCGGTATCTAAATAAAAATGTCACTGACTCTTCTTAGGAGCCTGGTTTTAATGTTAGGCCTGCCTAGCACAGCACAGAAAGTGCTTACAGAGCATAGGTAAACGGGTCACCAACACTCCCTTTTCTATATCATGTCTGCATAAATCGTAATTTATTCCATAAACACATGGTTTATACGAGTTTGCTGTGATGCTGAGAACGCACCAGGCATAACATTTATATACACTGTGTGACGTGCTCAGGGAATACTCCTTAGTGCACTCTGCCTTATTCACAGGCACATTTCTGCCAGTTTTCTGCCAGTTTTTCTAGAGAAAAACTAGAGCTAAGAGCAAGGCAGAAAGTCTTGGGATCACCATCACTGGACCAGCTCTCATCCTGACTGCAGCCCTGTACACTCCTCATATATTATAGAAATATATATATAAATATTCTAAAGCATTGTCTTTCTGGGGTTTTCTGTTCCAAAACAATAATCCAAAATTGATGAATTGTAGGAAAAAAAAATCCATAAAAAAAATCCATGGCTATTTGCTGAACTGTTTTCTGTGTCTGGCTATTGTTTTTCTACTAGTCACAATTATGAGGAAAAGACATAGAAATTGCCAACTATTTCATGATCTTTATGACTGCTCTGTGAATTACTAATGGTGGCTTATTAAATATGTACATAAGTCTAACCCCAAAGCATAAAGCAATTTTAAGCCTTGCTGCTAATTCATAGCTTGCTAGCAGCAGAATAAACAACTTCTGTTAATTGCATTCCCTACAGAACTTTTGTTCTCAGATGTCCTTTTTTTTGATGCTCTGTCAGTATATTGCTTCCTATGTGTATTTACAGCAAAAAGGGCCAGCAGACACAGAGAATTTAAACAGCTATTTGCAGATTGATCCACATCTGGAGGATAATAAAGGATAAGAAGGTGATAAGATACTTCCTATATGAGCTCATCAGAGATAAAGCAGAGGCAATCAATGAGGCATACCTGTGTCCGGTGAGACTTTTGGTATAGTTCTGTGTTCCAGTGTGCTGAAATATGAAGTAAAATCACAGAAAAAAAAAAAAAAAAAAAAGAAAAAGCAATAGTTGCAGCTGGTAGACCTGGAAGAGTACAAAGGCAAGATCCATATCCAAGACACTTACAACCTAGACTAGTTACTCAGAACTGGAAGATGAACAGAAGATATAATAGGAAGATGAAAAGAGACTATACATTAGATTATTGCCAGTGTTAAACAGCAAGCACTGAAGGTGGTATTTGCTTCCCACCTAGAACAATAGACCTAAAAGTTTCAGTCACTAGTGTCACCAAAACCACAGGTCATTGGAGGGGCTGCTACAATGCGTAATGCTGCATGACACATGGGCTTCATCAACCTGTTCTCCAGATGCTTGTTGAAAAAATTTCAGAAATCAAAGGGGCATGGTATCTCAAGGCGAGGTGGTTCTAATGGTGATAATATGAAAAAAGAGGGAGGAAAGACGATAGAGAGCGGAAATTATTTCTGCTTTAACGGGATAGGCTTGAAATGTTTTATTTACAAAAGACTGAACTTGGAAAATGAGAATATTTTGATTGCTGCCCAGTTTATACAAATACTGTGCTCTGGCTGATCAAATTATGAAGAACCATTGCTGATATTTTGTGCTTTTTATTTAATTTTTGAGCTGGCTTATCTGTCCTTATTTTTAGTCCCACTCATCCTTTTTATTCAGTTGACCTATGCTGCCTGAGACATATGTTATAAATTCTGTAGAACAGGTACAGCGTCCTCTTTAATTGCCTTTATTGCTCTTAGTGCAAAGTGATCTTGATCTTTGCCTTACATTCCCAAGCACTACATGCTTAATGAGTAATAAATACCCAAAATATGACCATCATTTATTAGGAATTCTGCATCCAACAACCGAATCTCTGTTTACATACCCAGCATGGACTTGTCTCAACAGAAAATGTGGTAATCAGAATACAAATGAGAATTTCATCCTTCCAGGAATAACAGATATGTCCCCTTTTACTGCCAGTTAACCAGCTGGATCAGACAAATGTCTTAATTGAAAATACATCTGAAAGACTTCAAATCAAAGCATAATATAAACAATAATATTTTAACAATGTGAAACAAAAAAGGCAAACATTCTCTCAGACCAAAGAACTGTATACACAGAGCTGTAAGACAAGCTTGCACTTGTATTTGTACTTGTACTTGATGTGCGCTTGTACTTTCAGCACACATCACCTCAGAAACTGCAGCGACGACCACAGTTAACCTTTTAAAGACAACATCCTGAAGCTGGACACTCAGCTTCTGTTTTACCTTAACAGCACTTAAGCACATACCTAACATTTGTGCCCTTATGTAGCTTCCTGAAAGATGCTAAGATGTTCTGATCCGTATGGCAATTTACAGTATAGCACCAGGTATTCAGATTGTATTCGCACTGATAAATTATCTCACTGCAACCTGACTGCAAGAGGTCCTTGCCTACGTGATGGCCACCATCCTTACTAATCCACTCCCTATGAATTTTGTGAAAAAATAAGTGCCCTTACCAAGGCTGTACCATTCATTTTCTCTGTGACTTGCTTCAAGAAAGAGATGTGATGCAGATACAGACAGGTGATTTCAATGAGACATCAAGAAAGCCTGCAAATTGCAAGCAAAGCAAGCTTGCAAGAAAGCCTGCAAATTGCAAAAGCCAGCTTGCAAATCAGGTTCTTGCTTCTGCAGCATCTTCAGCAAATACAGATTCTTGCTTCTCAGTGCAAACTAGAGCTGTAAACTGAATGACTTTTGATAGCCATGGTATTTTGGAAAAAAAAAAAGGTAGTGCTGTATGAGGAGGAAATAGCACTGAATTCTGTCAAATCCTTCCTTTACAAGACAGAATGTGAAATGCTGCAAACCTGTCACTTTACAAGTAGCAACAGAGGCTCAAAGGTTACAGAATACCTTTAGGAGGTTATGATTGTTGATATACAAAGGTGAGAAAATAGTCATCCACCTCTTCAAAGATGAAGAACCAACTATTTGATTCTAGGGAATAAAGACCAATAAATGTTCTCTCTTCCAGTTTCAGTTTTGCTTAATATAGACAGTGTCTGTTGTTTCTTCAGCCCTCAGTTTCACCCCCTTGAGTTTGGCCCACCCAGCCCATAACAGTTCACTCTTAATTCTCTGTATATAGAATCTTTTCTATTCTATATACAGAATTCTCTGTATATAGAAGTATAAAGAATCTCTATGAGAGGGCAAGACATGGAATTGCAAATCTGTTCCAAGTCACACTTTTTGTGTGAACTTTTCTTACTATATCTTCTGCAGCAATCAGCCAAATGTAGCAATGTCATTTCATCTTTTGTTTTTTTCTCTGCACAGAAATGGTTTCCATTGCAACAGAAAATATTACTCAACTTTACAACGTTATGACCACCCAGGAGCTCAAAACGAATCTGGCAGATTTCCATAATGCTTCAGGAGTGTATCACACAAATGGATCTGGATGCCTAGATTCAGATGCATGGGACTGGCTCTACACATTTCAGCCTGGATTCCTCTGGTTTATATTTATTCTGGGAGCGATAGAAAACGGATTTGTCCTCAGCGTCCTGTGTTTCCACAAGAGTCGCTGCACAGTGGCTGAAATTTACTTAGCAAACATGGCTCTCGCTGACCTAATGTTAGTCTGTGTTTTGCCTTTCTGGGCCATTAATATTTCTAATAAGTTTGAATGGCCTTTTGGCCTATTCCTCTGTAAAGCCGTCAACTCAATTAGCTACATGAACTTTTATTCTAGCATTTATTTTCTGACATTAGTTAGCATCGACCGCTATCTGGCCTTGGTGAAAACCATGTCTCTTGGACGGATGCGACGAACCGCCTGCGCCAAGTGGAATAGCTTCATAGTCTGGATGTGTGCATTGCTCATATGTTCTCCTACAATAATGTTCCGGAAACTGCAGTATTTCAAAGAATACAATATCACAGCCTGTTCTCTTGACTATCCAACCACCTACTGGCACCCTGTAAACAACTGCTTGCTTAATATTGTGGGTTTTGTGATCCCACTCTCTGTAGTTGCCTATTGCACCACTGAAATCATCAAAGCCTTACGAACTAATGAGTTACAGAAACTCAAGCTAATCCAGACAGAGAGGAGAGCCACTGTGCTGGTCCTTGCTGTGCTTTTTCTGTTTATTATTTGCTGGCTTCCATTCCAGATCAGCACACTAATCGACACGGTCTCTTATCTAGCAAAGACTTTTGAATGCCTTGAAGACATCAATGAAATAGTGACCCAGATAGCTACATACTGTGCCTTTAGCAACAGCTGCTTGAACCCAGTCCTGTACGTTATTGTAGGGAAGCACTTCCAGAAGAAGGCTGTGGAATTCTATAAGGGCTTGTTCCCAAAGAGATGCAGAAAATCAGAGTCTGTGAAGATGGAAAATTCCATGGACACTTTAAGAACTTCTATTTCCAGTGAATGCCCAAGGAAAAAGTCTGTTATCCCATTACCACGATAGTACACTTTGTTCTTTACAGAGAAAAAGATAAAACTTCTAACATGTGAGCCTCTACTAATACCCATGTGCAAAATGTGCATAAATGTGTGGCAACATTCATCATTTTGGGGGAACTAATAGTTGGATCTTAATGCGAACTCCAGTTAGATACCTGTTTCTAATGCTGTTGCACATTTGTCCTGGTCACAACATACATTGTGGTGGATTTACATTTTATGACTGATTTATATTAGCTGGCATCATTGTTTGAAATGTTTGTATTTCTAATGAATGTGTTTGGATGTACATAGAGTTCTGAAGAGAGGCCCAGGATAGAAACTACTGTCTGGATTGTGTGACTACTTATGGTACCCATAGAGTTTGTTTGACTACATAGGAGAGAATAATATTTAAATAAGTTTCTCGAAATCTTGTAGGAGTTTTATTCAAGCTGATTTTTAGGAGTTGCCATCTTCCATGTCCCTTCCTTCCTCTGCTCTGTCATCCAGAACAATTTTATTTGATTGACAAACTGAGCCTTTTTGCAACTACTCTGTGTCTGCAAGCAGAGGGTTATTTACGCATGGAATATAACTTAGTAAAAGTAGTGGAAGGAAGGGTGCAGGCAGCTCCCTGAAGCTGTTTTTCTTTGTAGCAAGAGAGTGTTTCCTCCTTCTGCAAAGTTCCTGCACTTCCTTTGGGTGAGTGAATGTTGCTTACACTCATACATGCGCTTCACCTCAGAGACTGATTCTTTTAATAGTCATCAACGACAGTTAATGTTTGTGATGCTACTTATTGGAAACATAAATACTCAGCACAACTGGTATAATCTCACAGTAAGAAGAAAATGAGTACATGAAGGAAAGCATCTATCACCCTTAGAAATACAACAGAAGATAATAGTTTTACATTGTTCAGAGTATGTAAGTGCAGCCTCTTTACACTCTCTTATCAACTCTGTTTTCTCTGTAGTGATATTAATTTGAGTGATATTATAAAATACCTCTTCCTAAATTAACCTGGATTTATAATCTATTTATTTCTACAGAGAAGACTGATAGTGAATCAAATTATCAATGTGTATTTTTACCCGTAGGACCCTTGTTCTAAACCTGGCTTGGAGATAAACTAACAAGTACTGAAATTGCCTTTCCTTTCTTTTCAAGGCACTGAAAGCTAGAGACGCAAAATTCCCTAGAGAAACACAGTTTGACAGCATAATTAAAATATGACAGCTACTATCAGTGGTCTTTATCCATCAGAGCTTGAATGGAACAGTGAATTTATGGTAAAGTTGTATTAAACCTTAAAATATTTAAACAAAGAGAATACTCAACAAGTATGAAAATTTACTATGAAAACTACAGGATTTAGATGATTGTAGATAATTTATAGTCAATTTCTATAGATTTTTTAAACCATCTAATATAATTCTGTCATAAATACTTTTTGTTCATTCTGTATATTTTCCAAAATACTTAAAATACATCACAGCTTTCTCTTACCTCCAGTGTTACCAATATTGCCTTATACATGAACATGTTGTTTGCTCAACCTTTGAATGAAAGGAATTGCATATGGCAGTTATTTGGACAATGAAAAAGATGTTGAGTTTTTGGTACTGAGCAGTAAAATATTTAAGTGTTATGACATATCACAAGTATGACATTAATTTAAATCATGTAAATATATAAAGACATGTTATTTTGCTATGTGGTAAGTATTTACAATAGAAAATAAACAATTTTGACCAATGAAAGCTGTTGGTATTTCTTCTTTAGCATGTATCCTTTCACTTTGGAATGACTGAACCAAGATGCAACTGGTGTAGGTAATTTCTTTCCTGTTGTACCTGTTACTGTTCAGGCAATTGACCTGAAAAAACAGAATTGTGTTTGGTGTGGACTGGGCAATCTTGCTGTTACTTAGTCAGGAGGTCCATGGACAAGTCAGAAAGATTGTGGGTTTCTGGGATATACTGCCACCTTCCATATTTTTCTGTTTCTGCCTCCATAGAATGTACTTAATAGGGCTTGATTATTACTGCACTGTGGTGCCGCCAGGATCGGTTCATTAGGAATGAATTCAGAAAATATGAATAAATGTGGATGTTGGCTGCTCTTAGAGATTTATGTGTATGCAAGGCTGAATTCCAGACATCTTATTGCTCAAATGGGTTTTTTATAAAAAAAAAAAAAAAAAAAAAAAAAAAAGGCAAAGAAATAAACTAGCGTAAGCAAAGAGGAAGATAGGGAAAGTCTGTGACGAAAATCTGTTGCACTGCACTTAACTAAGTGAGTCATAGTGTGGGCTGTGATATTAAGAAATTGATCCTGTCTTGGTTATTGAGATTTCTCAGGACAGATGCAGGTCAAAAAATAACATGGTACGTGTCATCATCAAAAAAAGATTTGCAATATTTTCAGAAGTCTAAAAATAAAACATAAACATTTTTCATTTGAGAGGTATTTTTCATAATGCTTTGGTTATTTAATAAAATAAATATATGTTGAAAGAATTTGAAATATTGTGTAATTCAATTTTTTTAAAGAATACATACATTTTAAATATTCAAATCAGTCTTTTAGAGTTTTATCAGAAGTGAAGGTGTTCCATCAAAACAACATTTCAAGATCAAATGCTAACAGTATTGACCTAACTCAGAATCTTTTCAAAAAAAAAAAAAAAAAAAAAGCTTGGGATAAAAGTATTTATCCTGCTGATATTGAAGTTCATAATAAGGTATCAGAGTGAAGTCAAGCGTGGTTTTTCATTTCAACTCACTCGTTAGGCAAAAATGGGCACTGTGAAATGAGAATTCAGAGAGGTAGTGCATTCATTGACTGAGTATCCGACGAGAAGAATGCTTTAATGTAAGTAAATTACATTCTAGGCCCTCAATAATTTCTTTATCAAACAGATGAGAAGTCCTAAAGTTTACACATATCTACTTAGGAGAGATTTGGATTTCAAAATCTGAGAGACAGCAGCCAACACTGTGAAATAGTGAGGAGTAATGTAAAGAGACACGTACACAGGAGAGCAGCAGCAGAGAGTACACAGGAGGGTGCAAAGGACATCAGTTTTCAAAGCTGGTGGAAAGGCTGTTTTAATGGGTCTAAGTTTCAGCAGCCCTTCCCAAATACCTATTTTGAAACAGGAATTTTGAGCAGAAAGCTAGTTCAAAGTTTGGCTTTGTGTGCATAGGCACTGGGAGGCTGTTCAGAGCTGTGTGAATTCATCAGTGCTGCAGATGTTAGTTAACCACACAAAGGAACTTAGAACTGCCAAGGACCTGTCCTGGAGACCTTTAATTAATGGCCGTGTGACGGGGACTGATAATGGTATATGGTTTATATAACTTCACTTCAAGAGTGAAATATTTCACGTGCTTTGGAAATTACTACAGCTGACGTTTGTAAAAGTAAGAAAAAAAAGACTGTTCTGAGGCTTTCTTCCAAAATAAAACATCATGCATGGCTAAGAAAACACCCAGACAGCTCTCAGAAAGTTGATCCTCAGGATGTGCATTTAATTCCATCACTAACTACTGCTTTGCTGTTTACCAGCTGTTTCTAAATTTAAATTTTCACCTAACCTCTGGGAAGGACAAAGAATAGGTATGTCTATCTGTTTTTAATATCTTACCTTTGTTAGAAGTATTTTGCATGCTTTCTGTATAAAAAGAAAACCTTTTGTGTTCTCAGTTCTCATATGCACAGTTTCTATGCACAGAATTTCTCTTTTACTGTGCAATTGACTTTGAAGCTTAGGATTCATTTTATGTGCAAAATTATCACTGCATTATATTATTGATTAAACATTGATATGATTAAGCTATGGTTCAATTTATTTCTGTATATTTCTGTATTATTTTTTAAAAAATGTAATCAGACCAGCCTATTCAAATATATCATATTTGAATCATCTGATTACAAAACTTTATTTTTCAAGGTGATTTTTGCTTTTAAGATTGTTCCCAGAGCTCAGATTGTATTTACTTAGTGTTTCTAAAACACCTAGTCCTATTTGGGAATTATGCATTAATAGTACTAATGGTAATAGACTTATTCTACATGCAAACTTATCAGAATTGAATTCAAAGTAGGCATAAGAAGCATCATTATTAAAAAAAAAAAAAAAAAAAAAAGACTAGCATATGCTAAGTACATCAGCTGAAAACTATTCAAGTCGCTAATTGTCCATTAGCACTAAATACTTAAAAATACTTACCAAAGAAAATGATCTTTGGAGAATAAAGGAGCTAAGCTATTGAGTACTCATTGCATTGGCTGCCAAGGAGACATCTGGAGCACTAAGTTTAAAAATTATTGTGGCTTGTGGTACTTCTAGGACGCTGGCTAATACACTTTTGAAAAGGCTTTTCCAATAGCAGAAACTCTCTAGAAACTTTCAATTACTAAGTGACTGGGAAGTCAGAATTACCAAGAGTTAAAATCTAAATTGCACTGGAGACAAATGTTCCTGAAGATTTTAGGTTAGACCATGGTGAATGCATTTGTGCCTCCAGCACACAGACCACATAAGGTGTACAAAGCGACTGGCACAATCTGGAAATGGACAAGGATCATAATCTCCCATATTTAATAAAATAAAAGTTTTATATATATATATATTTATTTATTTATTTATATATTTAAAAGCTTCACTAGTACATTTCCTCTGCATTATTTCTGCTATATAACATTAGGAGAGATTTTCTTCCACTGCTGTCACACCTTTGCTGACCTCCCACCATGGCAAGGGGTTCCTGCCTTCTCACAAATGGCATCTCTGAGGCTGATCAGAGATTTTCTTTTTCTCCTCCGCAGTTTTAGATCCTCCGTGTTTCTCTTAGATTCCATGAGGCCCTCAATGAACTAGATAATATTCAAACTGTTGACAGGGAACATGTTAAAAGCCAAAAAGCTTTTTAAACTTGAACTGTAACCCAGTTCCTGACACGGCAGGCAGCTTGAGTTTATAAATTCAGCTAAAACTTTGCTCCTCACTGAATTCTACAATGATGGAAAAGTTCTGTGTATTCGTTACCAAACTGCATAAAGTGGAATAATCCTGCTTTCTCTAATTCTTAAGAGATCTCACAAAGTTAAGTACCTTACCTTGGGGACTGGAAGCTACTCAGACACAGGTATCACTAATGCAGCATGTAGAAGTTAAAGGGATAAAAAGCCACCCTAAATGTTTTCTTCAGAAATTTTATCTTGGGTTGCCTCCATGGTGGAAAAATACAGGAGCTGAAAGAACGGATTTAAATAGCTGTAGCAGGAAGTTAACATTCAGGCTGACTGATTACAACACGCTGCTTTTTCCAAGTGCGTTTGTTTTTATGATCAACATGCTGCACTTGCATATGAAACACTGAAATGCTAAATGTCACCATGGGATCTGTAATGTCTTGCCTGCCATAACAGGTCTAAGACTAGAAAGAACTGTAAAAGCCTAGATCCAGGTACTGTGGCCATGCATGAGAGTACCAGGAGACTAAAGTCACACTAGGAAGCAACTCGCTGGTAACTGAATGGAATTTTGCAAGGGAGTAAGCTTACCAATGCTTTCATTATGCACAAGTTCACACTTAGCCACCTGATAGAAAAAAAGATATTGCCATTGCTAATGAAGGCCTAAATGCTGCGGAGTATGGGGCTGCCTGTCCATCTGAACTGGGATGAACAAGAGCTTCCTCCCTACAGACGGGAGACACCTCGTGTGAATTGAGATCTGCAAAAGCCTTCCTTCCAGCTTAGTTTTGGCTTAATTTTAGGAGTCACAGGCAGAAGAGTGTTTTATTTCTGCAACAAATGACATCTGAGGGCAATGAGCTGTCTAATCTAACAGTAACTTTGAAGCCAAAGTTTGGGAAAAGAGGAACTGACAGAGAGCAATAGAATGTGAAGTTAACCAAACAAATGATGCATACACAGAGTGAGCAGCACTCCCATCCATAGGAAAACTGGCATCATCCTGCTAGGTATACTCAGCCTAGAAAATAAGAGTAAGAGAAAGGGCAGGGAAGGTTGCTGGGCTTGCTTTGTGTGACCAGTGTGACTCCCACTGTTCTCAGGGAGCTGAAATTCCGCTATATCTGTTTCTGTCATTAGTCCGGGAGAAGAATGCAGATCTACTTATGTTGAATTGGTACTTACCTTCCTCTGTGCCACTTTAAACAATGACATCAAAGAGAGGAAATTTCAAGGGATGAAGAGGAAGTTTCATTTTTGCCAATAAAAGGAACAGTTCTGACCTTTGTAAGCCTGAATCATGGAGAGATCTAGCCTATTAAAATCGGTGAGCACTGCAAAAGGATTTCCAGACCTTAAGTGTTTGGTGATAGGATAACACTGAGAGGAGATAGTTTTTAGAATTGTACAATCTAGAATTTCTGATTTCAAAGAGGTCTCCTGTTCATTTCAGATTACAGAAAATGACTGAAAATCCTCTACTGAATGGTCCCTCCTCAATCCACAGGGAGAATGAGAGCAACTCAATTATTTGCCCAGAGCTAGAAGACTGGTGGAAAATTGTGTACTCTATACTACCCATATACATGGACATCATCTGTGTTATTGGTATGTTTGGAAATGTACTTGTTCTCCTCATATATTTGTTGTACAAGGGCTCTCTAAAGATAGCTGAAATCTACCTGATTAACTTAGCTGTTGCTGACCTTGTCTTCCTCATGTGCCTCCCCTTCTGGGCAGCGAACATCAGGAATAAATTTGACTGGCCGTTTGGCAATTTCCTTTGTCGAAGCACCAATGCAGCCATCAGCCTGAACATGTACACCAGCATCTACTTGCTCGTGGCAGTGAGCTTGGATCGCTACCTGACTTTTGTTCATACCTTGAGCAACAGAGGGATACGAAGCAAAACACTAGCTAAAGGTATCTGCTTGCTCACCTGGGTCTTTGGAATACTTGTCTGCATCCCAACCTTTGCATTCCGGACTGTGAAACACTATCCCCAGTGGAATATCTCGGCATGCACTTTAGACTTCCCCACTCCCTCCTGGATAACAGCTGAGCGTCTGGTGTTCAACATACTGGGATTTGCACTGCCAGCTACGGCAATCACCTTCCTTAATTTTTGTATCATTCACTCCCTAAGAGAAAACACAAGAGAACAAGGAGCGCTCAGAACGAGGAGCTGCAAGGACCACAGAGACACCAGGGCTACCAGGCTGATCATCATAGTGGTTCTCATGTTTCTTTTGTGCTGGACTCCTTACCATCTTTTTACATTCCTTGATATATTATTCCAGATGGAAGTGATCAAAGGCTGTGTCTGGGAAGAACTGCTCAACTTTGGCCAGCAATTTACTTCTGCCCTGGCTATCACCAACAGCTGCATTAACCCCGTGATTTATGTCTTTGTTGGGAAATATTTCAGGCAAAAAGCTTTGCAAGTTTTTTCACAATTTATTCCCTGTAGGTTTTCTTTGAGCTGGGAATCATTAAAAGAAAAGTCACCATTTCATATTTCATCTTGTTCCCAGTCAGGAGTAGCTTAATCTAATGATTCTCTGTTCAGTGTTAATTTTGATATTGCAGCTTACTTTAAATGGCATTAAAAGGAATTTAAATTACACTGATATGGCATTCAAACTAAACTAATTATTTATTCAAATATATCACTTGACTGCTTATTTGTCCTTTCGTTTGCTTTTATTTTTCCATGCTACCCATCCAAATTCATAACATGTGATACCAGAATGGCACAGCAAATGATCTAACCTCATCAATTTTCAGTGACTTGGGAAAAATATTCCTCTTTGTCAAGGTATCAGCGGTGTGGTTTATTTACAGAAATCTGTAAACCAATTAAGCATTCTGCTGGATCGTGTCTATGATCACAACTACAGAATCACTGATAGCACTATATAGAGAGTTGAGGTATATGTATTTCAGGACAAATATGAAATTAGAACAGCTCCAATTACTCTTGACAGTATTATTAATGAATTGTAGTATTACTGAAGCATATGGAATATTTGAAGAAGTGTTTCTTCATTTTAAATATTTTTGGTGCATGAATATTGTACAAGATGAAGTAACACACACACACACAGAAAGTGTGCACAGGCTGTAAAAAAGCAAATAATCCCATATCTTTCTCAAAATCTGACCATTTTGGGGGTCCAGTGAAACATTACACAAGAATTCATCAAGTAAGTATTCTTTTCATTTTCTATACATGAAAACATAAATGATGGCCATGTACACTCTATTATTTTGGTTTATTTTTCATTTAAGGCAAATCTCCCTTTTATAAAAATTGATATTCTTTGATGTTCTTATGAGTTAATAAATTGCATAATCATTTGACCATCGACTTGTTCTTTTCTGTGTGTGTTCATTTGCTCTGCTGCCTTTTTCACTTTGGGTAAAACCCCACATCATCTAAAAATATCATTCTGTGATTAGAAATCCTTACTGCTTCTAGAATATAAGCTCTGTTATTGTTAGTGGCAGTAATGCTGGGAATATAAAAATATACCACACAGGAGAGGAGGAAAATCTCTTATCTATCATAATTACAGTTGTAGAAAAGGTTTAAGATAACTGAGATCTGTTCCTGTACCAGTAAAAGTTAGTGCATATAAAGACAATATAAAATTAAAAGGGGCATATTTACAGTGTCAATTCAAAGTAAAGTTCAGTAGTAAAGTAAAATTCAAAGTAAAAATACCAGTTCACCCAGAAATATACTGAGTGCAGTAAGGGGCATATAAGCACATCATATTTGTAACGTTTATTTAATTAGTTATTATAAAGCCCATTCAGTCTTACACTATATGTAACAGTGCACTGCTATGCTCATTTTAGAATTAATCTTTTTTAATTACTAAAATTTGCTCATTCAACTCCTATTCCCGTAGGCTTGGTGTTTATCCTTAATGACTCCCATGGCATTTTTGAAGAATGGAAAACTTTTAAAGAGTTAAAAGTCTATCTTCCTACTTTGCTGGGTTGAAGGATGAGTTAAGGGATCAGGGACAAGGAATCATTCGTAAGTGTATTATTTTCACTCCTGTGCCAGCTTTTCTTTTTTTTTTTCCAAATAAATGTCAGAGCATTAGCAATCACAACACTATGTGAAGCCCAGTGAATCATCTGAGATTAGAAACTAGATTCCAGACTATTTTAGTTATTATGTTGCGCACTAGACTTTCTCACTACGTCCCCAACTAAAACCATTACCCAAAATACTCCCAAATAGAGATATATGCTGAAAAAGAGCAAAAGTTGAAATCATGAAAAAAAAAAGTATAAACAGAAATGCCATTTTCCCACCATGCAGAGGGACCTTAAAAGGGAAAAACATCTTGTCTTCTCTAATGAACTGTTGTCCATATTGACTGAATGGAGAAACACTTCTTGAATGATGGGATTCATTTAGGGCATAAGCTAACAGACACTGAAATCAAGAAAAAGCCTATCATTTACTTCTACTCACACTTCCCATGAACACGTGAGGTTCTTAGGAATAAAGCATTCTACTGCAATATCAAACTTTTGTAGAAGAGATCCCAACATACTGAAACCTTACAGGTTATAATTTAACCTACTCTCCTCATCCATCCACACTGAGCTAGTGAAGAATGTTTTATGGTTTAGTCATAAGTTCTCTAGGACAAGGACTGCCTCTGTTTAGACTATGCCTAACACTGTGCAGTCTTAGTTTACAATACAGTCGTAGTAGGAGTATAGTAATAAAATGGTGTTTAGAATTCACTGAAATACGTATCAATAAATTATATCCTGTACTTGTATTTAAAAATTTTGATAAGCTGCTTCAGCTTTATCAAATTTGAACTAAAGAGGCAGTAATCACACAGCATTCTGCTTTAAAAAACAAAGTCACTTTCATGGAAGGAGAATTGTTTGTCATTCTTGCAAGAACCATAGAAAATCAATTGGAGATTCTCAGATAGAAGAAAACAGCCTGCACTCAGTACAGACCTGCTAGAGCTTTCAGCAGCTTGATGCTTCCATCCCCACAGTGGCTCAAAACTGCCACTGTTGCCTAGGACAAGGCTGCCCAAGTACCCTGGGCACAGAGCAGCAGGACCTGTTTCACTGCCTATGAGTGGCTTTGGGCTGAAGACAGTGAGCGTCAGGCGACTTGATTGCTCATGGTCCTAGGGAGCTTGTTGGTGCCACACTGGCAGCAGCAAAGGACTCTGCTTTGTGACAAAGGAGCAAGAGACAGAAGCTGTACTGGATCTCAGGGAAAGGGGCTGTGGCTGGTATTTAAGAGCATAAGAAACGCTGGACTAGGAACTGGTAGCCAAGAAACAGAGGAAGAGCAGGGACTGGAGGGAAAGGAGAGAGTGACTACCAGTGTTTCTGCTCAGAAACTTCCCAATACAGGAGAAGGTGGCGGAGCAGAAAGGACCTCAGAAAAAGCTGAGGGAGGAGAGGAGGCGAGACCCGGCTATAACAGGATAGAGAATAGGAACTAGTGTGTGTGTAGGAGGGGAAAATGACTTTGACAGGGAACTGGGAAAGAGCTGGGACCTGCTGGGCAAGGAAGCCAAAGCAGATTGTGAAGGAGGGAAGGAGAGATAGATGCCTCATGATGGAACTTTGGAATATTTTATTCCCTGAAAAAAAATCAGAACTCATATACCAACTTCATTAAAAGAGCCTTAAGGTTGCCAAATGAAGCATTCAAGGGCCAAGTAATGTTTGACCTAAGGCTGCCCCTGCAATCTCAGTTTATCCTCCTTCATATATGAGTTATAATATAGTTTTATATGACTAAGCTTTGAATTTCCAATGTTGCAGCTTAATCACTTTTGAGGCAGTTTTGTGTGATTCCATATTATGTGGGAGAGAAATGCACTTATATAAACCAAACAGTATCCTCAAGAAACTAAACCATTTTATCTGGCACATTATTAAATGCAAATAGTAGTATTGATAAGAGCAGATCCATTTATCACATCATAAATTCTCAGAAAGAAATCTTCGAAACAATAGATAATTAACTGAAGAACTTACTGCAGTGAGATGGCGTGGAGATAAATGAGTCTAATAATCATAACTGAAAGGATTAGAAGAGATTCTAAAATAATAGCAATTAGGAATAATATTGCCGTCAGCTGAAATATAGGGCTGAATATCCACCTCTCCCTGAAGCACAGAAGGATGCCTGACAAGCAGCAGAAACTACCATTAGTCATTAGCAAAGAGGGGTCAACCAGCTTCTTCAGAGAAGTATAAGACAGTGCTTTGGGACAGAAGGAGTTTAGAAGAACTGGGGACCCAACAAAATCTTACTCCATCAACCCAGGACATATAGAGAATAGCTAGAGACATGTGCTCCAAGGCTAGACCATGCAACAATAGTTGACTTTATTCTATAGGAATTTGAAGCTTGAGGGCAAAACAAGCCCATCTGAAGAGCATGCTAGCTTATTTAGTTCACTTACTCTGCTGTTTTAGCTGATCTGTTATTGGGGTTTTCAGCAGCTGCTGCTCATTACTAAGCCTGTTACTTCAAACTTGCCTGGGAGTCAAATCCTAATCACAGTTCCCAGCCTACTGGGCTTGATGAGGTACTTCCTTGCTCTTTTCCAAGACCTAGTACAACAACTAGTTGTTGTACACACATCACAACTAGTGATGTGTGATTCCTCACAACTAGTATGCTTATTTGTGGTGGAGAATGGCTATGTAGCCAGAGTGTGACATGCCCTCTTATTATTACCTCCAGAACACACTATGTTGCAAATACACATTCATAGTGAGCAAACGAAAATGTTGGCAAATCTCTGCTCTAGGACAGGAGTGACCTCTTCCTCTTTTCTTTTCTTATTTTGTTGCTGTTGCAAAAAAAAAAAAAAAAAAAAAAAAAAAAAATGCAGTCATGCTGGATGAATTGATGAATTCACTCTGCAGCTGCTCAAAAAGCCAGAACTTGACCCTTCCGTGACTTTTACATTAATTACTATACATGTCTGCAGCAAATTAGTTGCCTCTTGGGTACAACCCATGGGCAGCAATGCCTCGTACTGCCTTTCATGAGTGGTAAGGTTCTTCTTTAGAGCCTGGTCCTCAACTTCAAGCGTAGCAGAAGAATACTGCCTGCACAGGCTGCTTTGGTTATGCTGTTGTCACCGATTAACTGCTTTGGCCCGTAATGTGTTAAATGATATAATTAAACTCTATAAACAGGAATTGTTGAAAACAAAACTTCCTTCTTTTTAAGCATATATGTATGCATCTTGCTGTAGTAAATGCTCCAGGCAGAACAGCCCAGCCTCCACTACAAGACATTGGTCCTTCAAGAATTGCAAGAAATACTGGGCCTCTGAATGAAACCTGTTGCCAGCTTTGTTTAACTCTTATCTGCTGGGTGGATACCAGCTTCCTGGTATGGATGCCAGTAATTCATAATGTGAATCACACAGAGCAAGCACATAAAATCTCTCTGACGCTGCAAGTGTTAGTCAGACAATGAGTGAAAATTCATCTGATAGGAATTAAGTCTCTACTCATATTCTTATATTTTAGGTACTGCTACAGAAAAACAGAAAGGTACTGAAAGAGTCAAAATTATTTGTGAGATTAAGTTGTGGCGTTCAACACATTTTTTCTCCCTCTGTCTTGCTTCAGACGTTTGGATCTGAAGGGCTGCAAAGCAACAATGCATCGGCTAAACACAGGGATCTGTGACTGACAGAAAACTGCTTTGTGCAGAATCATCAATGGATGGATGCAAAGTATTTATATAGGTTTGCATTTGTTAGTGAAATATTACCCAAATAATAGAAGCATTTATAAGTTTTACTGTGAAAATAATTACTTAGAACAGAGGGTCATAAAATCACTTTAAAAAAATCTTATCTGTAATCTTTCATTCTATAGCAAAAATCAGATATCCTTCAAGTATCCTGCTCTGAACAACACATGGCTTCCCTGAGAAACTGCACAGAAGTACTACTAATTATGTTGAAAAGGGAAATCCATATAGCAAGCACATAAACCAAAGGCCTGGTTTCAGTAAAATAAAACCAGATGTGTGATTTTAGACCTGCACTGTTCTTCCTGCCTTGCTCTGCCCCCTCCCAGCTCTATTTCACTTCCAGGCATTCTATGCAGCCCATCCTGTTTATTCTGATGAGATGTGAAGGGTTTGGAAGAGTTATTTTCAGATATTGTCCCAAGCTTTGGGGATATTGATGTGCAACATGATTCCTTCAAGCACTGGGTTCTATCTCTACTTTTTGCCAAATTGAAACTGTTCAATTTTATATCAGACTACGTCCCCTCATTTTAACGATGCATTTGCTTTTCTAGTGCAAAATAATTGCACCAAGTCATGTCATGGGAGAGAAACCTGGTCACAGGTGGCAGTGGCTGGCAGTGGTAGATGATGGCAGGGCTTAATGTCTTTCAGCAGGGCTCCTGATCTAGTCCCATGACCTCTCTCTTTGTCCTCATTTTTCAGGAGCATCATGCACAACCAGCCACGTTTGGCACACAACAGCCCACAGCAGGAGAGACGCTGCAGAGCACTGGGAACCAGGAGTCACCTGTACAAGACAAATGGCACAGACTGGCCAAGACATCTCATCTGCCTTTTAGCAAACATGAGAAAGAGCTTTCAGGACACCCAGAATAATTCCTTTTGTGACAGAAGTCATCTGAGAAATATCTTTTTTTGTCTAAGGTTACTGGTATATGAGGTAACATTTTCTGTACATCTAGGAGGCAGAAACAAGAGAGCAAGATGAACTTTATTTGGTGTGAAGAAAAAGGTTTAACAGTGCCAGTGCTACAAGTCCCACTTAGAGTAAGGTTAATAACATTTGCTGAACATTAGTGACAAGCTTACTGCGTAACAGTAGGCTACTATCATCTATGTCAAAACATAGGAATGCCTGTTGTCAGAAGCTGCCAGCAAAAACAACTGTTTGTCTTAGAAAAGGAGCAACAGAAGTATTCAGCAGTTAGAATGTTTTAGTCTTTTTAACTGGAGTAATTTTTAAATTTTCCTGAAAGTTTTTGCTATAGCAATTTTTAAATCTAGATACATCTATTAAGTGATTCCAAGAAATTCTCATTTCAAGGAAAATATGTATCAGATTGCATACAGGGCAAGTGGAACAACTAATAGTTCTTCTAATTGATATTCAGAGACTACTGGGGCCATTACTTAGGTATGTGGGGCATATATATAAATGGATCTCCTGATCTCCTTGATCTCCTTGAAATCTTAATTTCATGGAACTGTGTTCTGTTTCAGTTGTTACTGGCAACAGAGATGACAGAGATTGGAATTGTGCAGTTCTGTGTTTGAGAAACCATGTGTAGATTGTGGAAGGGCAGGTTGTGCCAGCTCAGTGAGTCTTCTCTTGGTTGGTGGTAGTTGGAAAACTGCATCAGCATCGGCTGAAGTATCTAACACTAGGCCAACCACTGTCTGCTTTGTGAAAGAAGCTAAGGAAATGAATGACAAGAGTCAGAAAACTAGAGAGATCTTCTCTTTTCAATCTGGGCACTGGAAAAGAGAAAGGGAAAAAGACTGGCGGAAGGGAAGGGAAGGGAAGGGAAGGGAAGGGAAGGGAAGGGAAGGGAAGGGAAGGGAAGGGAAGGGAAGGGAAGGGAAGGCCGTAATTATACACAACCCTAAATTAAAAATGGCCATCACATCACAAACACATTAATGGAAGTGTAAAAGGTTGTGCAGATAGCAGAGGTTACTGCATACACTTGCTTCTCACCATCAGATTTTGCCGATTTAATTGCATTATTTTACAATATATAATTTCTGTAAGTATGCATATAAAGACAGAGCTAAAAGTATGATGCCTTTTAGTGATTTTTTAATTATCCATGTCTTCTTCTGAAAGAATATGGAGCAAAGTTATAGCGCTCTTTTAGAGGTTTTCTAATTCATGAGATTTTAAATACATCAAATTACTGTCTATATAATCTAGCAGATTAACTCCTCCTCCCTCCACATATACATTAAAGATATGACATTTGTCTTCTAACAGATTTGCTTTCAGTAATTTCTAATGTTATTGACTGCAATTACAGTCTTATACTGAGTTGTGCAAAGATTTATCTGTTTGATTACAGTTGTGTGAACTCTGCTTCTAGACAGACATTTTATTTGAAAAATACATCTGTTTTCTACTCATCTAATATCTGTAGGCTGAACACATTTTGTTTTAAGTGTCTGCTGTTCTACCAAATGATTTGTATTGCAGTGGGCTAAAGAATGGCTAATGCTACCACCTTGCTACAAGGGGTTTCAGCAGATAATTTTCACTGTTTGCCAATGTCTCATCATCCAGGGGGGCCCTATCCCTGCTTTCATTTATCATCTCCAACTTGGGAAACACTCTGACCTCCTAAGAAAAGCCTCCCCAAACACTTTGAGTGGTAACAGCCTCCTCCTGTAGCACTCAGGTCACTTCTTGTTTCGTAGGTGAAGTTTTGCTGCCAAAAATATTTGTGAGCTTTCCTGGATCAAAGGTCCCTGAAGCTGCTCTGCCTCCATGGCTCACTTGGGCATTCTTGCCCAGTTTCCTCTGCCTGACAGAGCAGTGCTTTTCTCTATCCTCCCTGGGTCTGCAGGCAGGGACATTCATTCATTCAGAGCTTTAATGCAAATTAAAGCTCTGAATTGTTGTTGCAATTACTGCAACAACACATATCTAGCTGGGGGAGACCTCTCCCCTATGTACAACTATGAAAAATAAGCACAAAGCACTGCATTGCATCCCAGAGAGCCCACAGCATGGTTTTACCAGCAGCTGTTATCCTCAGCTATTACATTATTTTTGTTTGTTAGGGAGGGTTGTTCAAATTCATGTCTCCTCTGTTTCGAGAAGAGGCCATATCTCACGTTCTGCTTGCTGCTATGTACAGCATACAGAGCTGCTGCCAAGCATGTCTCAGAAAGACTAATGATGTTTACAGTGCTCCATACACATTTGGACACAACCTTTTTGTGATACTCACATCTAGCATTTAGATCCTCACATTGGATGGCCTCCTCTGAGCAGAGAAAGAGAAATGATTAGTACTGAAAATGACTGGGAAAGCCTCAAGAAAAGGCTAATTTCTCTACCTTTTTAAAATTAATAGTTATAAATTATACAATTAAAATTATACACACATGTAACAATTTCAAAATATGAAACAGCAGTTACATTGTGATGGAGGCTGGACCACTGCTGCAGAAGTCTGTGATTCACATCAATGGCCTGTGTGAGCTGACAAGCTTACTGCGTGCACAACCACATGAGCTTTTTTGGGGAGACTATGGGAGCCATGAAATGTGTCTCCCTCCTGCACAACCCTCCTGAAGATCAGTGCTGCCCAGTATAGCCCATGTTCACTGAATCAACTGTTGCAGCACTACTGATCTTGGTTCTCTAATCCCAGTTCTTTGCACAGCTTCATACAAATTACAGCACATAGCATGTCATGGCAGCAACTCTACCAGCTGAAATGAGATACTTGCTAAAATACACCACAACACCATGGGACAAGCCAAGTCCCAAGCTACAAACCTGCTGATGAAAGTCTTCAATAGAGCTGAATATCTCAGTGAAGAAATCAACAAGAAATTACATGTGGAACATGCTGTTAATGCATCTGAAGGAGAAATGAAGGGTCAGTAGTGGCCCTATGAAGGTGATTCCAAGCACTGAAAATCTTCACTGTCCTTGAGGACCTGTATTGGGTCCTCCCAAGGGAGGGAGGAGGAGGGGGGCGGCCTCTTTTCAGTGGTGGCCAGTGATAGGACTAGAGGAAATGGCCACCATCTGAAGCACCAAAAGTTCCATAGGAACTTAAGGAAAAATTTCTTGATGGTGAGGGTGACAGAGCCCTGGAACAGGCTGCCCAGAGAGGTTGTGGAGTCTCCTTCTCTGGAGATCTTCAAAACCTGCTTGGACACAATCCTATGCCACATGCTCTAGATGACCCCGCATGTGCAGGGGGATTGGAGTAGATGATTTCTAGAGGTCCCTTCCAACCTTAAGGATTCTATGATTCTATTATTAGGAAAGGATTCTGAAGCATCAGATGCCTCCCAACATGACCTAACCCATTAATACAGTCCTTTTCAGAGAAGTAAACAAACCCCACCTGCTCACTCATCTCTTTTTTGGCTTGGATGGGGATTGAAGGCAAGACCAAGAAGTTTTGCTAAAATGTAAGGGTTAAAGTACAGAGGCAGTTGCTGGGGCTGGGCTGAAGCACCATAGGGAAGCATTGTGAACATATTTTTCTTTTAACAGTAGAAGGAAAGCTCCCGCTCCTCCTTTTCTCTGGGCATTGCTATTCCTTTCCTGTTCCAATCTATTTTGGTTGTTTCAATTGTTCTGGAGGACTTGGCCTAACAAGCCAGGCAGTTAACACCTGCACCTCTATGGATGAAAACATCTATATTGCCATACTCTTTAACTCTCTCACTGATCTTGAAAATCTTCTGGCATCACTCATGAGTAGAGAACAGAGCTTGGTTAAAACACAGAAATAAAAATCAACAGCATAAGCTTGCAATTCAAAGCACAGTGTATTATCTCATAGGTAGTCACTTACTAACCCTTTAAAAGTATGTTAGTGTTTTACCTATCATATGCTGCCCTAAAAACTTACTTAATATTTGCAGATGTCTGCAGATCTTCAAGAAATGGCCAGCACATATCAAAGGCAACAGCATGAGATGCATTGCAGTTGCTTTATGTGGTCTGATGAATGGCATGAAGCTCGTGCAGTCAGCCTGGCATATCTGCCATAAGTTAGATTCACTCCTGATGGAAAACAGACACAATGACATATCAGTGATGACACAATGAGTCCTCTATATCCAAAATACATCAACGCTTCTGTGCACATGCATATCAGTGGTGTACCATATAACTTCAGGGCTGAAAGACAAAAGCATGCATGATTTTCAGTATAGCAGATGTAGCAACAAACACAGCTTCAAATGCATGTACTGTTTGTGTGAGCCAGGACCCTCTGCTCACTTGCTGGGAATACACCACTTCTTATTCTTTCAGAAAGGGTTAATATAGGATCATACAGTGCTGACTCGGTGTGGGTAAATATTGCTAGTATTTATCAAAGATTGTGTGATTTTATTTTCTCTTGCACAGCTCTGGGTATTCCATGCCCATTTCTTTCCATGGAGGTGCCAGTCAGGATGATATTGCTGTGTGGCAGCAAGATATTGTTCAACAGTGTGCTGAAATTCAGCCAACTGGTGCAAGGTGACTTGAACGAATTCCAAGTAAGGGTATTATTGCGTTCCCAAGGGTGAAGTGACAGTGTTTTCAGCTCCTTGGAAAAGGAGGAATACACATCATTCATCAGCAACGTTTGAGCTGCTTCGGGGATAACATTAGTGTACCACAAATGAACCTCAGCAGAAAATCTGTATTATATATATGAGATGTGCATCTGAGGCCTCAAGAGATGGGGCAGAGAGAAACAGAAAGAGTGTGTGAGTGTACGTGAGACAGGAGCCGGGGGGATTGACAACTACCAGGATATACACGAGCTCACATATTAACAAGAAAGCATCACTGTCCTTCCTGCAGATACACATGCAGAAATGCTGTTGCCAAGAGAGAAGATGTAAGAAGGCCTATCAAC